GAGGAACTGAATGAGGACTTTATTTTGAAAAGGCTGACCGTTAGTTGTATATTTTAGCGGCGGCTTGACAAATGTCGCTCAATACTCTTAATTTTGGCAAAATTCTAAGTAGACAAACAATAACTTAGCTTGTCTGCATTATAGAACATAAAACACGCTCAATTAAATAAATAATTTCCACTCCAAACTTGGTATTTAGCAACTATGCTAACAGAAGGATGTGAGCATAGCTGCACATCAGTGACCCCATCAGCATAACGTTACAGTCTGCTGCTAGCTTTAGCAAGCTGTTAGCTGCCAAGTTCCCTCATCATGACATCTTTCCACGCACACGCGGGACACTCGGAGGTTTTGAACAAACACTGTCAGACTCACCTTTAGCCTCACAGTCAGCACAATACTTGTTGTCTTCTTCTCTCAGCAGTTTGGACAGAATGGCCTGATGCTGCTCATTCAGTTTCTGGGCTTTTTCTCTCTCCGACCGCGTCGTCATGTCGCTCAAAGTTTGGAGCTGAGTCCTGCCTGTGTCGAGCCGCTAAAACCCTCGGAGTCCTGAGCCTGTGTTAGAAAGGGTGGGACATCCCCGTTGAAGCCGCTCCGCACTGCCTCTGTTCAGTTAGCCTGCAACCTGCTAGCAAAGGTAATATGGATCTGAGGCAGCATCATCCCTGCTGCCTTCACGACCGTGGGAATTTCTACAGCTCACATGATTCCCGATCACACAAGGAGATTGGACGCAGAAGGAGTTTCACTTTGGCTCTGATTGAACTTACATACAAATGTGTACAGTAAGATACAGATATAAACAGATATAGACAGTTAGGTGTGCATTTTTACTGATGTGTCAACGTTTTCTCATTAATTACATTATTTCTAAGTTAAAAAGTTTTCTTTAATGAGCAATCAAAAACAAATAGATTATATTGAACATGCAGAAATTCAGTGCAACAAAGGTGAATACACCTGTGATTACTGACACACAAGTTAGAAAATGTGTGATCAGTGAAACTACATTGAGTTCACCTGTGATTTCCACTCAGCCTAACTGCAGGAACAGGACTATTCAATGAGCTGAGGGCTTTCTCAGTGTTGGACCCCTGAGCTGTGTCTGTATCCATCATGGCTCCACATAGAAAACAATTCACAGAGGAACTGAAAAAACTAATTTTGAGACGTAATGAAGATATTAAAGTTTAGAGGAAGACAGTGACCAACTAAAAATCAGTCAGAACACTGACTGTAATCAGGAGGTGGTCCATAGTGGCACTAATCAGATCTGCAGTAGTCGTCCTCCTAAAACAACTGCAGGGACAGTGTACTACTTTTACAATCTAGCTCTGAAAAACAGATGAGCAGCTGCTTCAGACCTTGTCATGGGGGTTATCAGTGGAAGTTAGAGTTTCTGTGGCAGCTGTCCAAGAAAAACGCTCTTGTTTGCTCTTTGGAACAAAACTGCAAGATTAAACTTTATCTTAAAAACACATTAAAAGACTCCTGATGAATACTGGAAGAACATTTTTTTGGTCAGATGAGACCAAAATAAACTTGTTCAGCTCAGATGGGATCCAGTATGTTTGGTATGAACCTGGTTCAGGACTACCACAGTGATAGTCCTGACCTTGAAGCACGGAGGGAGTGTGATGATATGAGGCTGCATAGGTGCAAAAAGTGTTGGGGAGATGACATTTATAGATGGATGGCTGCAGATATTCTAAAATACTGGCTAACAAGATGACTCCCAGTCAGCAGAGGATTGGCACAAGAGAAATATTCCAGCATGATAACAATTCAAAGCACACTGCCAAAATCACACAAGAGTTTCTAAAGAAGAGAAAAGTGAAAACTATGTCACATGAGAGATATTTCAAGGTAGAGCAGCAGAACCCCTCCAGCAAAAAGCAGCTGAAAAAAATCTGAAGAATGACAGACTGACACATCTCTCCAGAAATGAGATGTCTTCCATGTTGAGGAGGATTGAGTCTGTCTTACATTCTAAAGATGGACATACAAAGTGAAATTGAAAAAATAAAAGATTAAATTCTCAGTCAGGAGAATTCCTCCTGTAGTGCCTGTAGTTTTAAAAAAAAGTAAATCGAAACATTTAGTTTGTAATTTCCATAAGAGCAGATACAAGCTGTTCAATTCGGAAGTCATTTAGTTACTGTTTCGACAACACAGTTAGAATCATTTGACGTTTAGGTGACATTGCACAGGACTGTTCTCACTGCTGTCTACTGTATCTGCTTCTGTTAAAATGGTTAATTTCCTACACATCGAGCCAGTATAACTGCAATACTGGAAGATATTTCTGCTGACTTTATTTCTTGTTCAAATGATTTGTATTCATTATCACATGGCCAGCGAACAAATCTAAATTTACACTGAGAATTTCCAGCATTTTGTATCACAAATGCACCGTGGGAGTTGTACATCTGTGTGTATATTTATGGCTCTGTTTGTATGCTTTGTATGTGTGTGTGTGTGTGTGTGTGTGTGTGTGTGTGTGTGTGTGTGTGTGTGTGTGTGTGTGTGTGTCTGTGCACACAAACACACACCGCCTGTAGTTGTGGGTCAGTGTCTGTAAAGGATCTTAGTTTCATCAGCTCATATGAAATGTGTTTTTTTTTTGTTTTTTTTTAACAAAAAAAGGTTTGATCACCTTTTGCCGTTTTAGATGAATCATTTTGTCATTCCAAGATTGTTAATTTTACCATCCAACGTTTATCATCATCTGTTCTGTAACCTTAGCATGGTGGTGGTAGTTTGCACTCTCTATGCTGTGAACATGTATGCCTGAATTACTCTAGTGTTTCAACTTGTCTATGTGAAGTGCAGAGTAGCTCTGCAGAGTTTGAGCAGAGCTGGAGGTGAGCAGGCAGCTCGAGCTGCAGTGAGCAGCAGAACTGTAGGTGGAACGAGAGACAGGGACTTCATAGATCCACATATTCTAAAGGAGACAATCGTGTAGACTTACATCTGAGCAATTTCAAGGCAGAAAGGGATTATTGTCTTGGAAAACCCAACTAAATATTTCATGTTGATGAGTTCTTCAGTGTTTTGTATACGACCACAGTGGGACTTCAATATAAAGGACCTGTTGGCCTTCTGCAGTCATAAAATCATAACCCAATAAACTATCTGCAATCTTGTTGCTGCTACTAAGAATTTAGCAGCTGTGAGACCTTATTCTCTCTTATCTACTCATATTTTAATTTGATCCACACTGTAAAAGTCTTACTTTACACTTTTATTCATAAATCTCATTATATTAGCAGACAATAAAAATCTATTAAATTCTGTTTTTAATAGCTCTGTTTCTACTATAAAGCTGATGGTTCTAATTATGATGATTAATAATAGTCGTAGTAGTAAAAACAACCATCAGTGAAATGCCTGCATTACATAGTTGGATGTCTGTGAGGTGAAGACCAGAAAGTAAAAAAAAATAAAAAAGGTTACCCCGTAAAATAGCTTCATATATTTCTGTGTAATAGGTCTGCCTCTGCAAACGTCAGCGGAGCCTCAGCTTGCAGGATTTTTTTTTCACTCCTCTAAGGCAGACAGAGCTGCCCCTTTCTCTTTCAGGTGTAATCAGATTTTAAAAAATGTTTTAAAAAGCCTGAGTTCACACAGACCTCCTGACTAACAACATCTACAGACAATAAAGCATTAGAAGCAGTAGTCTTCTCATTTGGGTTGCATGAAAAATTCAGCTTTATTGTTGACAGACAGCAGGACCAACAGCAAAGAGACAGTGTTAGACGTTGACATGACACAAGCAGGTAGCAGCTTTTCTAAGAAACAAACAAAAAAAACAACACCCAAAATTAAAGTACGTCTAATATCAGGTTATCAGGAACACTGGCAGGAGGATTCATTTTAAAAAGTGTAGTGTAATAAAAAAATCTGCAGGAAAGTGTTAAAAGGAGAAAGTACAAATAATACAAAAGTGAAACGAATTACAATAAATTAATATCAAATATATATATATGTGTCTGTGTCTGTGTGTGTGTATAGTACATGTACCACATTACATGTAATCCCATGTGATTGTACCAGATATATTAAACAAACCTAGTCATAAACTTGAAGTTACCAGAGCAGTTGTTAGCTTAGAAAAGTCACCTGTGAAATGTTTAATGACGAGTAAGAAACTGTTAAACAAACTACTTCATTAAAGCAGACAGATTCCTCACAAAGCTGCACCACCACATCATGGTGAGACATGAATGAGCTCTCAAAGATCCCTCACTGCTTAGTGGTCTTCACTTCAAAACACAGAATAATATCACAAGACAAAGCAGCCTCATCACCTGCTGCTTCCTATGAATGTTAAATAACAGATCAAATAAATAGGAAATATAACTACGGATATACCAGGTGGTCCAGACGGACACAAGGAGGAAAAAGCGATTACGCTCAGTTTAGTAATTTCACATTAATGCCACTAGAGAGCAGCACAGGCTCGTCCTGTCAGTCTGATTTGGCACAGCGTCCTTCATATCCAAGCACACGCCACACTGTGTGGACATCAGCTATGGTAGGTGCTCACAAAGTGTTTTGTTTCCTAGATCAAGGAAAAGCACCATGTAGTAATTTGGAGCACTATCCACACTTTAAAAAAGTCTTTTAAAAATGAGTTGTGATTATGGCAACGATCCATCTTCCCTTTAATATGATCTCACAATCACAGACAATCATTGATCACACTGACTGAATAAAAATATGCTCTCAGTGTGAGTCAGCGAGTTCCTTTCTGCGTTCAAAGTTAACCGATAAGTGAGACAAACAAGGTTCGGATGATGTCACAGAGCTTCAGATGCGCTGAACTGTCACCTCTATAGTCTCACAAAGTATTAAAGTACAAAGATTAACAAATTTTATCTAACTTTCACTGACACCAATGAGAAAAATCACAGAGAAATCATAGGATGCATTCACAAAACAATGACATTCAGTATGATGTGAACTCATCGTGCATTTTGGTCCAGTATTTGAGTGTAAACATTTGATTTTTTTTTTTTATGTATTTCTTATGGATTTGCTGTGATTTCTCAAACAAACAAACTGTGAACAACTGACCTCACTTACTGACCTCTGTAAGTCAAATATAGGTTCTCTGATAAAAGGGTAACTGGAGTGTTTTCATGATGTCAAGCAACTGTATACAGTACTTGCAAACTAATGTTCAATTAACTGTCATTACACGTCCTAAATGTGTCCAAAAGTCGGCCATGTTGGAGGTCTTCAACAATATAGGGTTGCTCTTTAGCAGCTCCTATGGCTTCTAATTTTGTGTCGTTTTTTTTTTGGCTAGGAGATCACCTTTTTATGATATATGAATATTTGTACACCTTATTACATCTGGTTAGTTTGTTACAATTGCTGTTTATCTGACATATCAAATTAGCTAGCCATGACTTTTGTCTAAACACCTGACATGAACATTAGCTACGCACACATCGTGTTAGCGTTGCTTTATTAGCTAGCAAGCAAAACCCAAACCCAACGAGCTACTTTCAGACAGACTTCACAACAGCAATAAGTATTTTAACCAATAAATACAAGCATTAATTGATTTTTTTAAAAGTATTTTTGTAACAAAACGCTAAGAAAGACGCCAAAGCATACAAATTAGCTCCCAATTCAAAATGAGCTGATGCATAAATGCGACTTTGAGCTAACTGAGACGGCGGGTGTTCAGCTGAGTTGTGAATCAACAATAGGCTGCTGTCATTACAAAATTTAATTATTAACACTGAATATGTTGGGAAACAGCTGGAAAACAGGGAGCTAACATCATACATGTTTGTAGTTGGCTAATTTTTTCCATGGTGTTGGTGATTTAGAGACCCACGGTTATGTAAATAACCCAACGATCTGTTTACTTGGGGATAAACAGGATTAGTTAGGAGGGTATAAGTTGTGTCCGTAGTGTTAATACTTAGGGTGCAATGTTCAAATTGCTTTACCACATTAGGCAAATGTGTCACTAATAAGTTGCATGGGTCCTGTCCAAAAAAATAGGCCAAACACTTACTGTTATTTGAAGAGTTAATGTTTGACATTGTCTGTGGACAGTCAGCAAACACGAGTCCTCACATAACTCATAAACAGCTCTCTGGATTACGGCAAACAGTTCCCTCGTCAATCTAAGGTGACTTTGCAAAAAATAGTTTGTTGTTTCCATCCAGATTTGCAAAGACGGAACAGCAAACAGACTGAGTAAGTAAAATGCAAACACAAACATTTCCACTAGCTGACATGAAGCGATCCGATGTGTCATTAGGTTACGACAGACACTGTCGAGCTTTTTGTTAGACAATAGTTTGGCAAGTTGTTAGTGTTCTCTAGTTATGTTGGTCGTGATATTTGCTGTCTGAAGATAAAAACAAAGAAATGCACATGATGATGCTCTTATACACAAACTTATAGCCGTGAGTGTCTCATACAGCACATGAGACAAACAGAATTCCAATATTTATGGGAATGTTTTAGGTCTGTTTTAGTATGTTTCCATCATTGTTTATGGCAAAATCCTTCAATGAAATTTTTCAAAAATACCAAAAAAGTGACTTAAATGATCGAGGAAATGTGTTCAATATGAAATTCTGAAATTCATTAAATCTTAATTTGAGTTTGAGATTACTTTGATGGAAACATAATTGAAAACAACAGCAGCACCAGGTCCACTGTGGACTGTCCCTGCTGTAGACAGACTGTACCTATGGTATTTTGTTGTCCTCACAAGTGAAATCATCAGTGACTTTGTTTTTTTTTGTTTGTTTTTTTAAATGGACACCAAGACAGAATGGTGCCCAGTCAGCAGCAATGTCAGAGATGTTGAAGGTCAAAAGGTCAGGAAGCAAGAAAGTCTTGCTAAGTTCACAGGACAGACTCAATGGCTTCTGGCGTGGCCCCCGAGGCTTTGGTTTGGTGCGTGACCAGCGGCGATGTCTCCTCCTCTGCCTGGGCGTTGGCCACCGCCTCCACCCGGACCTCCGCCAGCTCCCCCTGCTGCTGCTGCTGCTTCTTCATCTCCTGCTGGTTGATGTGGTGGAGGATTCCCGCACCCAGAGCGTCGCCCTCCACGTTCACAACCGTGGTGGTACGATCCCTGTACGTGACAAGGTTTACTTTTAGCGAACATGGTTTATGTTTCATGGCTACAATTAGTGCTGACTGAAAGACTTACCATCTTACATGTGTCATCATTTGAGGTCAACAGCCTCTACCATGGATCACCTTTCTTGTTCCCTAGCTACAACTATTAGTGGGCCTGATATTATATATATGACTTAAAGAACTCAATGTCCTCATAATTCTTGCAAATCACAGCCTTATGTTTTGTCTTCAACAAAACTCAGGAACACGAGAAGCTCTGGATTGAGTTTTGGAAGTCAGACCTTTCCAGCATGTGGGCCCTGACTCATGCAGTAGGACTGCTCTTTCAGATGTGAAGAATTCCCACATGTTTATGTTTAACTTGCTGCTGTGTATGAGAGTTTGCTCTGACACTGCAGAACATTACCATTTCTTTCTCTTTGTAGGCCTACAGCTCCAGGAAGCCATGGCCTAGTTTTGCTTGTTCTAATAAGCTCAGATCAGATGTAGATGTGTTTGTTTTTTTCATTTGAGAGTCTTCACAAGCTTTACTCACACAATCCAGTCAACAGCCAACATGAGTGACAAGTCGTTGGTCGGCAGGCCGATGGCCTCCAGGATGATGGCGATGGTGATGATGCCACCGGCCGGGATACCCGCTGCACCGACACTGGAGGCTGTAGCTGTCACCCTAGAAATAATAATAATATAATTAGTTAACCAGATTAATGGATGAAAAATGACATTTCTGTTATTATCACCGAGTAAAACTTAACTCACAGAATGGTAAAGATTTGTCCTGCATTCAGCTCGGCATTGTTGAGCTGAGCGATGAAAACGGCGGCGATGCACTGGAAAATTGCGGCTCCATCCATGTTCACCGTGGCCCCGATGGGCAGGATGAAGCGGCTGATGCGTTTGTCTACTCCGTTGTTCTCCTCCACACACTTTATCATGGAGGGTAGAGTTGCTGAACTGGTGAGAGAAACAGTGCCGGCTTCATATTTGACACTTTCAAAATGTAAAAGACCCTTCGGATGTCCATATTGTCTTACCTGGATAAAGAAATTACTGCAAGGTTCTAGGATGCATGCAGTGTAAATGTAAACATCACTCAAGATGTTAGGACTACTTGACACAACATTTATCATATGAAGGAAATATAAAAAGTTGGAGTACCCATGTGGGTGGACAATAGCTTTACTTAAATCCTATTATGTAACCTGCTCTTTGGCTGTTCTGCTAACACATTACCAGTTTTAAGGCTACAAAAGTTTGTCTTGAGGATATTGCAACAGCAAAGATTACTGTACAGAGTTTATATCCCTTATAAATGTGCTCAACAACGTTTATGGCAATATTAGATTATACGATACCCTGCAGGCAAAGATAACATTTTGTCCGAGTGTGGCACAGGATAAAAGTAAGTTTAATGGCAATGTGCCACAATTTGGTCTTTTATTTGTGCAAAGTGAGCAGATAGTGGAGCAAGAGGAAAGGTCAGGGTGTCAAGAGTAAATGCAAACTAAACTGTGTGCACTGCTGCTACTACTGTACAGTGTAACTGCCATCTGACAACTTATTTTTTTAATTCAGGGTCTAAGAGTTTAATCTATACCGCTCAAAAAAATTATCACAGTACAACATCAATTCAACTACACTTCTGGGATATCGATCTGTCTAGTTAGGAAGCTTAAGTGACTGTTGATCCCCCCTCAGTGGGTTAATCATTTTGTTCTCCACTGCCCAACCATTAATATACACTGTGTAGTTTACAAAATGGCGTAAGAATGAAGTGTTCCCTTAAATTTTTGAGCAGTGTATGTAACTCAAAATTGGCACAGATTTCTATCCGTGAAGGTCAGACTGCTGTCAACAGCTCATCAGAGACCTGTGACGTGACAGCACTCATATACCTGGAGCAGGTGGCGAAGGCTGTGGTGAAGGGTGTGATGAGGCCTGACAGGAAACTGAAGGGGTTCTTGCGTGTGAAGCCGAAGTAGATGAGAGGCAGGACGATGCCTCCGTGGATGATGTGGCCCAGGATCGAGGCAAAGATATATTTTCCCAGACTGGTGACCAGGAGAACCACATCGTCCATCTCCACAATCTTACTGCCCACCAAGAACATGATGCCAAAGGGAACATACCTGAGAGACACAAGAGGTACGCAATGAAAAGGAAAGAAAAAGCAGAAGGACAGCAGTTTAAAACAACACTTTAAATCCAAGTACATAACTTTACTACGAGCCTTTAAACACATCCAGCTCCACTCACCACATGATCCACGACACCAGCACCATCGTGGCCTCGTTGAAAGCGTTGAAGAAACGAATGAGTTCCTCTCCTTCTTCTCCCAGCTTTCTCAGCGCCACACCAAACACCATGGCAAATAACACCAGACCAAGAATGTTCATGCCATCCGTGTCAGTGCCAATAGGGACCTAAAACACCCAGTAGAGCCACACTGTGAGAGACTGAACGTGGTGACAAGACTGTGGGAGGGAGGGATGTCAAAAACTTCCCATTACTTCAAATAAAAATGGAGAAACCAACAAAACAAGATAGAGGCTCCAGTCGTACAGAAGCTTTGACAATTTCACCTTGACATCTACTTCGGCAAGACTGTATTTTGGAACTTGCAAGCAGTTTTAGACGAGCCTGAACCTTTGTGCATGGCCTGATTGCAAGACCCACTTCTGTAGAACTTCTTTACAGTCTGTTTTCCAGGGACAAAAGGTACCTATTCCAGGATAGGCACTTATGAGCAGCCCTGAAACACTTATATGCCTCAAATAAGGCAAGAATTTCCTTCAGGATTAATAAAATCCTGTGTTTTATATAACAAACCCTACTTTGTTCTAGTAACAATGTGCTCGTAGAAGTGGAGTTACAGCCAGTAACTACTATATCTCATTGTGTTGGCATCCTTGAAGTTAACGGAGCTGTCAGATCCTACATTGCAATGGAAAAAGAATGGCTGAAAGGGCCAATGTAGAGGGGCAGTTATGTCAATGTTTGCACCACCTTGCACCTGCTACAGTTCCTGCAGTAAAAAGCCACCTGTGCTCAAAATACAAATGTTAGGATGCTGATGTTTAGCAGGTTTAGTATTGTAGTTTAGTGTTTTAACATGTGAACATTTGTCTTTCATGGCAGTACAGTTGATGGAAATGTCATGAGTTTGGAAAGTATTTGGTCATAACCTATTTTGGACCTGATGGTAGCACTAGAGAAAAAGTCACTAAAGTAGTTAGAGGAGACCTACAAAGAAGCATGAACATCTGTACCACATATTGTTATTTTCCAGCCCAAAATGTTGTTCTCAATATGTGGTAGAGAGACAAAAGTGAAACAGTCTCTAGATTCCTTTGGATTTCCTTTAATGAAAGGTCATTTCTAAAGGAAAAAAAAACAACAGCTTTCAAATATGTAACTTCAATGCACAGATACAGTTTAATCGATAACCAGAGAGGGACTTTAAACAGGACAGGTTTTCTTAGGTCACGAAACCCTTTCACACAACAGCAGTTGCTCACTGATGGTCACACACTGTCAACTTTGACGTATGTGTACCCTGTCATTCTGGAAAGGTAAGCTTGTTGAACAATAGAGCTGATACAGTCCGCGGTAGTTTATACGACACCTCTTACTCCAGAGTGTGCGTGTGTGGGTGCGTAGGTCTGTGGAGTTGAAGGATTCAGTGAACTGGATGATGGATAACGAATAAGGACAAGGACAAATCCTGAGCTCAATCCCTTCCCATTGTGCTGAGCTCTCCCACAGCTCCACCAGCTTCATCCCCTGGCACTGGAGGGACTTTCCACCATGACCCATGATAGACAAATACCATGGACAGATGCCAAATTCAGATCCCCAAACTGTTCCCCCATACTGGGTCAATGGGGCCAAGCTGTGGCCACTGGGGCAAAGTAGCAGGATTTAAAAGATTGCTCAAATTTTTTAACAACAAAACACACAATCATGCATTTATTGAAGCCTCTGACTTTTTTGTGTCATAAAAGTTTTTAAGCATCTGTGCATTTTATGCATTCTTAAAAGATTCTTCAGTATAGCAACCATCTGAGCGCAGTGTCTTGGACGAGCTAACAGGATCCTGCTGTGGTAAAAGCCTAAAAAGCCTTTTGTGCTACGATGCTAAATGCTTTTTGTTCAACAGCCTGTGTGCCATCAACCATCTGTTACTCTGCTTCCGAACTTCTGCCTCTCCTGCTGACAAACTAACCAATTCATCATACACTTGTCTAGGATGCAACATCACGACACGGAAGAGGCCCAGCAGTAATGCAGAAACCTGCTGCTTGTTCGTGTGATAAACTGACACATTGTTTATTATGTATTAGGCTCAATGGATATCTGGTGGGTCAGTATGACCTGTATTCCTGTGCCCAACACTCTGACTCACTCATCACAGCACACAAAAGCAACTGTATTTTTTTCAAAGCTGGCAAGTTTTGGCTGAAAGCCTGACCTCATTTGCTGAACTACAGACCAGTGTCACTTCCTGTTAAACCCCACCATAACTCCAACTCTAATATTCATGTTTTGGAACAGTTACTGGGTTGAGATCTCCCTACAGGACGGAACAGATTGAATGTTGGAGCAAGCGTTCCCCTGCAACCAATGCCCAGTCAGACCCCAACATTTCTGAAAACACAGGTTTTCTAAAGGCTTCAGTATGCTTCAAAAGTTGTTCTAACACATCTGAAAGCAAACGTTGGTATCTGTCTACCAACAATAAAAAGTTTAAATGACATGTGGGCAATCAAAGTCCTACAAACCCAGCAGCAGAGAGGTTTGTAATGATGTCCTCCAACAATCCACACTGCAGTTCATTTGGAGCCTATTAACACTTTAACAAACATCTGATTCTATTTCTATCATGTTCCAGCTTTGAATCCCCCCCAAAATACTAAAACACCACAAACTCACAACACTGGATAATCAAAACATCCATATGGACGGTAACACGTAAAATAATGGAAGAAGTCGTTGTGAAGCTATTTGTTGTTGCATTTCAAGAAGCGCAGCACATGTCTAAACCCCTGAACAGGATTTTCAGTGGGTATCTTACAAAGTTACACTAGGCAACAGTAGGTTATAGTCTGAAAATAAAATTCTGTTTTGCATGGCAGTGGATAGTGCTGCATGGAATCGCTGCCTTGATGAAGTCACCTATTTGATTTCACTAACTCGGACTGCTGAGGCTTCACATAAGCTTTGATTTTTGGAATTTTTGCACAGAAGTTGCCTGTGGATTTAATATCCCATTTTTAAAGTTATAATCACACTGTGACAGGACTCTTAAATGGAAAGTATACAGAGGAGGAATAATTACAGCACCTGGGATGTTTCTCAGGTGCACATATGACGTGAGTATTGACGTGAGTATTAAGATAACTGTATTGAACACGTCTAATATGCTTTTTAGTAATAAATGTTGAATGCAAACAAAAGTGTGTTTGAACTGTGCAGACAACATACGAGGCCCTTCATATGTTTGCACTTGTCTACAGGAGCAGCAGGACTAGCATCAGTACTTACACATGACCTGCTACTAGTAACAGTGAATTTATAAATCCTGTTTGAGCAGCTCACATGACCAAGTTTACTCTTCTTGAAATATCAGCATTTCCCCATCAACCTTGAACCCATTGTCCCGAAATCAAGTCTTCCATTAGTCTCACCAGTAGTGCTTATTCAGTGAGTTTGCACCCATGGGTGACTCACACACACACACAAAGCACACAGAGCAAACATGTGCTCCAGGGATGGACAGCAGCTTCACCTCCTGTATTTAACTTAACAGAGATAACTGTTTGACTTACGTAAACACAGTGCATGATTGCATGCATGGGATGCTTCCTGTTCTTACCTTTTGGTAGAGGATGGTCCCATTGGTGTCGTTTCCAACAGCGACCATCTTGTAGTCAGTGGCATACTGTAAAACAAAGCAAAGAGATATGTTTCATTTACTCATTCAGCTTTGTTTAGTCCATTCTACTACTGAAATAGTGGCTACAGTGTCAACATGCAAACATTGAAAAATGTGTGGGCTGTATCCTAATTTGTTCAATTTCAACCCACAGTAATTTAAACTGGAAGTATTTACATGCATAACAGTGCCACAACATGAGGGATTTGACATGTAAACACATTATCCAGGTTTGTGTCATCCACTGCTCATGTACGTATACAGCTCGCACCAGCAGTGGTCAGAGACATGATGATACATGAAGCTATTATTTTCTCGTTTTACTTGGAACCAAAAGGAGAAGTCAGTCCAGCATAGTGATAAGTGCAGCAGTGGCTTGTTGACGGGAAGCCAAACTGTGTACAAGGGAGATAAACTGAGCTAAACCAGGACCAACAAACTTTTACTGACAGAGGACTGGGCATGTTGGAATAGTATAGAACAGTTTCTTTCTGTTGCATGTGAGGATCTTATCCTAAATGTGACTAAAGATACCAAAATTGGAATGCCTGTGTCATCGGAAGATATTAGAGGAAATGGGTAATATATTGAACACAATCATTGACTTCTTTTGCCACATGAGACAATCATCATTAAAGTCATGCCTGAGTGTTGAGCACAGAGTTGGAACATTTAGCTTAGCATAAACACCAGAAGGAAGATTTGAAGCTTGAAATGTAAGTATGAGAATTTGTGGTTTAAGGAGAATTACACGGTTTTACTCCTTCACACTCAGCACCACTGTGCAGCGGTTCTGCTGGTTGTTTGGCACAACTATGGTTAGTCACTGCACTCGGCTGTTGGTTGCTGACAAAAATCTAAAGCACACTTTTTATAAAACCACAAACTGTCATTTTTCTAAATCTGTTTTCCACATATTAAATAACAAAGACAGTGTGTTTATTTATCAGCCTTAGCAGACCCTGTAGCTTCAGCATGCTGGTGCAGCAATGCCAAGCTGTGAACTTCCTACTACGAGTGCAAACCAAATGTAAAGACACCAGTATACCCTCCACAACTGTTGAAGTTGTTTTGTGTGTGTTCTCACTGCACAAAGCAACAATGGACATGTGAAAACTGAGCAGTGACATCAGTTTTCCTAAAATCTCCAATTTACATGTGACACACCAACCATCCATCCATCCATTATCTATA